TGATGTGAGCTTTAGCTAAAACTAAATTCAGTACACACCAATCAACAGTGAGTAGTTTGCTTAGGCTGACACTGTTGCTCTCAACCTCTTCATAGGCCTATGTATAGCCCTATTTTTGGGGCAGGGGGTTCCTATAAATGCAGAATAACATATATGTCTTTCCATCAAGTAGTGGATATATTTAGAATGAGTGAGTTTATTAGTCTCTAAAAGACAAGGGGTTTCTTTCACACATGCCCCCAGCATCCTGTGCTCATCCAACAGCATAGCTGTTGTTTTTGTATTACCCTGTCCTGCTATCACAGGACCACTGGATCCCTGGTGCAAGGGACACATCTTATTCTCATGTTGCCTCCTCTGGCCCCAGTTCTATACTTGACTCTTATCATCCAATCAATAGATGGTTGATAAATGGCCTCTTTAGTGAAGAGTTGGGGTCATATTCTGTGATGGAGAATACCTGAGAGCTTTGGTAAGGAAAGGGCTTGGTTTGAATATGTAGTCTGAAACCTATGAACAGCAGAGCTTGGCTTCTTACCCTTGTAGAGCTCCAGTTTTCTCATCTGTAAAATGGAATCACAACAATGATATGGATGAGATATAACATATATGGTGCCTGGTATCTAGGTAGTTCTAAATATCATTTTCCCTTCTCCTTGGGGAGATTATGGCATGTAATTTGCAAATTACTCATGGGACTATTGAATGGGTCAAATAAAATGTAATTATACAATCTACCAGCAGGTGTTTAGATATTTGGTTAATGTATATCATTATAAACTACAGTGGCTTGAATGACAGTGTATTAGTTCTCTCAATTCTGGCTCAAATGAGATTCATTTGGAGAACTTTAAAAAACCACCATGCCCTGGCCACATCCTGGTCATAGCAGTATAGTCTCTGTGGCTGAGACCAACCATCAGCAATTCTTAAAGTTTCTGGGGTGGTTCCAACAGGCAACCAAAATTGTGAACTACTGGTTAAGATGTCACAGGGGCCATATCCCAAGGAAACAGTGATACTATTATGCTTCACTCAGCTAAAGAACACTCTGCTCTCATATTTATTTAGGGCTCAAGGTCACACCTAAAGCGCTACTCTGCTTTCCTTGGTTGCAATGTTGGAGATACCACTTTATTTAAAAATAACTTTTTTGAGGTACAGGAGATTGAGCCCAAGGCCTCATACATGCTAAGCAAATGCTCTCCTAATGATCTATATTGGCACCACTCTAATTTTCTCAAGGAGAGAGGCTGCTATGAACCAGGGTCAGATCTGGTTCTTCCTGGACATACTGTCTACACCTATAATGGGTTTTCCAATGATATGTGTTTTTAAATAACCATATGTGCCTCACATGGAGAACAAATTTTTTCTTCCCTGTACCCTATCTTCTTTCGATGTTGATATCACTCTATAGCATCCAGGTCAGAAATGACAAAATCCTTTAATCAGGTTTTTAGATCAAATACCGAGTTTTCAACTTGGTACATTAGAATCGCTTTGGGAGCTTAAAAAAAAAAACTGGGCCCACTGCAGACCAATTAAGTAAGATTCCTTGAGGGGCATGAGCCAGACACTGGTATTTTTAAGAACCACATCAGGTGATTTTAAATGTGCAGCCAGGCTCGGAAGCAAGGCTCTATTTTTCTTTTCTTGGTTCTACCAGGTCTACATTCCTGTTATCCTGATGCAACTTTCATTTTGAAAAAACAAAAATCTTTCTTTTTATGAAATAAAGTTATTTGTGGTCTATTATTTTTACCTACATTTGTTCCACCCACAGTGATGTTCATTCTTAATTAATTCCACAAACATTATTATTGAGAATTTGCAGGGTGTAAGACATAATCTCTCTGCTAGAGGAGTGTAAATAAACTCCCTCATGCTTCTGGAGAGGATAACATGACACAAATCACCCCCACAGAATGCAGAGTGTGCTAGAGTACAAAGTATTACACAGGATACCTGTGCAGCTTGACTGAACCCTTTCCCTGACTCATGTCTAATCCAACTGCACCCTCTCCATGACCCATGTGGCAGGTATACTATGATAACCATTCCTTAGACAAAGGGGAAGCTTCAAAGACACTGGGTGATATGTTCAAGTATGCCCAGGTAGTTAAGATGGGTGGCTGGGAACTCAACCAAGAATTTCTTCTCTTTTCTGTTCTCTTAGTCTTCATGCTCAAAGAGAATGTTCCCTGAAAGATGTAATTTATATTTTTTAAAAATTTGTTTGGTACAGGGTCTTACTACACAGCTCAGACTCGTAATGATCCTCCTGTTTTCAGCCTCCTCAGTGCTGGGATTACAGGTGTGTGCCACCACGCCCAGTCTCTGTGGCCAGTTCAGCGTGTGTGGTGCTGGGGATTGAACACCAGTCCCTGTGGTTGCCTAAGTAGGTGCTTTGTCCACTGAGTTATCTCACTGGCCCAGATGTAATTTATCTTAAGAATGTATTTACAATATTTTCAATTTCTGGGACATTTCTCAGGCATGGTAAATTCTAAACTTTACTACCATAGACTCCCAACATCTTCCCTTGAAAATTTGCATAAAGAGAGAACTTCATGCCTTGAATAAACATTTGTGCTATTCCTAAGGACAACAACAATCAGACTTGGCCAGAATTCATTGGTGACAAGATCTCTAAGGGTTTTTAGCCTGAATGGTGTAATGTGAAAATTGAAAGGGACTTTACGAGTCAAAGCAGCAGAATAAACTAAGAGCTACAGAGAAATAAAAAGGGACTTCCAAAGTCAAACTGTTTATTGGTAGTGGAAATAGACCTTAAATTCAGGCAACATGCTTTCCCCCCCATAAAACTCCACCACCTTCCAATTTGAGGCTCTGCTAGATAACAATATAGTGAGGAAGGACAGATCAAGAATTGTTTCTGTTTGTCCCTGTTCCTATGGCTGATGTTGACTTATGCAAAGCCTTTTGCTGTGATTACAATTATTGGCTTTCCAGAAGGATTGCAGAGAATGTGGCTCCATAGTATATACTTCACATTTGAAAATAAACAATTAGAAATTCCCTAGTTCCATTTACTACTAAAAATCATCAGAATATAAGCACTTAATTCAGTAGAAAGGGCTAAAAACCAACTAACTTTGCTGTCTTTTATTTTAACTTTAATCCAAATATAGTTCATTAGACAAACACTACAAATACCCAAACCATTTACTTGTCTTTGGGAGGAGGTTTCCCTAGGCCTACCCTTCACCCTACTCCAACCCTTAGTTATGGCAGGACTTTGCTCTCCCCTTGCTGCAAGTCCAGAGATCAGGCTGATGCCGTCTCTACAGGACCAGGCCATGGGCAGAGCGCCTGCTCCCCTGGAACCTTTGGATTCATTCCCGTTGAAGCCCCATGGGTGCTGCCAGACTGAACAGCTTGCTGCAGCATGAATGGGGAAACGGCCAGTTGAGACCTGGAGAGGCCAACCAAACTTCTCTTAACAAAGCTCATTTCTAGAATAGGATACTGTGGGGGTGGGCAGCCCATCTGCCTGAGAGTATTTTCATGGTTAAGGCAGATACCAAGCACACTCAGCCTCCAGTCACAAGTAGTTCTCAGAAACTGGCAACTCCCAGAAGTCTTTTTGATACTGTGGATGCACTGGTGATGCTGAAAATGCTGATTTGGGGACCATACTTTGAGGGCCACTGCCCTAGGCCATTTCATAGATGGTAGCTCTATGACTTAAGTACTATAATAAAAAGTAGTTCTCAGCCCTTGTTGCACAGTTCAAAGTCTCAAAGGCAAGGTAGTTAAATTAGAATATCTGGGCTTGGACCTTGGGCATTGTCATTTTGAAAAAATGTTCTTAAATAGACTGAAGGTGAGTAAATCTTCCAGGGCTGAGTTGAATACAGCCTTCACTTCTGTAAATCACCCTTGTCTTTACAGACAGCGGCACTCTGATCACATCACAGATGACCATTCAATGAAATATGCTGACAAAAGTGAACAGAGGTTACTAAATTCTCTCCCCTTTGATTAAAATTGGAATTCCTTAGAAAGCTTGTATAGCTGTAACTCTTTCAGGTCACCAAAAGAAACATAGAGCCTTAAAGTTCAGTAGGATTTCTAAGATCTCCCTGAAACTCTCACAATTTTAATTACCTTAACAGTCAGCATGGACTTGACCCCACTGTGTTAAGGAGTTGATGGGTCTGCCCTTGTCTGCCTTATTCCAAGAGCAAGGAACCTCAGTCTTCAAGAACTTAGATAGGCATGCAATGGGGTAAGCTGGTTGGGAGGAGACCTGGTTTCCAACTCCATTGCACGTGTCCAGACAAGTGGTTCTTAACTTCTGAACCACCTGTTGTTGGGGATCACTACGGCTTTCTCCATTTCTAATGCTGAAAGCTGTCCTGGAGAGTGGCAGACATATAGTAAGATCACTGTATGTGATCAAAATGAATTTTGAAAAAATCTTAGGCAGGAAAAGAGGCTAAACTGGGGAAACAGCCATATTTTTCTCAGAACTTATAAAATTATATGATTTTTGTCATAACTTTTTAGCAACACTGCTCAAATTCACCCACAGACAAGTGCTAAAAAATTGAGGACTCTGGGAATCATGAACTGGACAGCAGGAGACTGCCTGGGAATAGAGGGCAGGTAAGGAAATATTGTTAGGGGCAGGGGTAGGGGTAGAATAGGAGTCAGCTGCCTATATGAGTACCATTCCATGGATTTTTGGCTGCTTTTAACTTGTTTCTCCAGGCTACCATTTAAAAACCAAAAAAAAAAAAAAAAATCTACACTGATTTACATCACTGTTTTTCCCATTCTATTTGCAATAGCAGGAGATCTTGGTTCTATTTCCATTTTTATCACTGCATGGCTTTAGTGTCTTTTTCCTTATAATGAGTGTAAATTTTTCTATTCTGGAGGAATAAAAATAATGACTAGTATAAAAGTGCTCCTGAGAGCTAAATGATCTCCTTGTTTTCGCCATCTCTCCTGCCAGAACAGGTCCCTACCTGAGGCTTGGACCTCCATGATGTACTGGTGCAGATCCTGGCCCTGCTGGATGACCTCAAAGGTCATATTGTTCATGGCTAGTTTCCGCTCTGTGTGGCGCTGCAGCCTCTGTTCTGCCAGGGTCAGATCTTCTGTGTTGAAGTCATTCATTTGCCTGAGCAAGTCTTCATTCCAGGCATCCAGCTCTGCTGTCACCTGTAGGGAACCATAACCATCATCAAAACAGGCTTGCGGGACCCACAAAAGACTGATATGTTGAAGCTTGCTACTTCCAAGCCTTATCAACTAACCCACCCTGAACATAGTCTTTGTTCCACATCTCGACCATTAGACTATAGCTGAGCAACACTGCCATGTACCCATGTATATGTGGCCTTAAAAGTATTCTGTGTGTTTTAATGACTTAAGCACCAGCAAAGAGCAGCAAATATGCTCTAAGTTCTGGTTTATTAAGTTTCTGTGCACTCATCCCATTGATCCCCACAATGACCCACTGAATCAGGCAGCATGGGGATTTCTGGGTCTGTATTATAGAAGATGAAGCTACTCTTCACTCAAACAGATATATGACTTGTCCAAAATTTGCTGTGCTAAGAAGGGGCATAGCTTGAAATATAGCTCAGTTCACCTAACTGCAGACTATCTACCACCCTACAACTGATGCTCTAAAAATAGCTCATCATTGGAGAGGTTCTCAGAAACTAAGTGGTGAGGCTATTTCAGAGACAGAAATTGAGGGCTGGAAAAGTTTAGAGAATGCATATTTAGTTCAAAGGCTGGTGTACAGCAACCCAGTGGCACCCATTCTGGTTTCTGTATTCCACTGTACAGCATTCTCCCTCCATTATAAAGTCTGATACCTGGAAATAGGGACCAAAACTACATATAAATGTATTGTAAGGTAATTCTAAAACTTCAAGCAGTTTATAATCAATTGAAAAGCATTAATGATTCTAATGAAGACTGAAGTATTCATGAATGGGAACACAGTTCTAACATGAATTAGCTACTGGATCACTATTCTGTACCTTAACTCAGATGGCTTAACCTAGTCTATTCTTAGTCCTCTGCAAACAGACTAAATCCTATACTTCCTTTACATTTTCTGCAGTTATCCACAGGGTAGGTATTCAGAAGTGCTGAATTAGATAATCATTCCACCTGATATGTGAATCATTTGCAAATCTGCTATTTCATGTCACCTCCACAACAGCCCTGTGAAGGCAATAACATGTGTACTGTCACCTTTGCTGAAGAGTGAAAATTAAAGTCGCACCTGAGTCACATATTTGCAGTTTGGCCCAGAAGTCTAAGCATATATCCAAATCCCTAGTTTAGTAGTTTTCTTTTTGCCAGGTCACATCTCAGCTGACAAGTAATATTCCCTTACCAAACACTGCTGCTTTAGGGGAAGCAGTGAACACTGGGCATAGAGGAGCAGCTCAAGGCAAGTGAGAGAAGTACTCTTGTACTCCATGCTGGGGCCAGGCACAGTGGGCTGGGAAAGCCAAGCAGTCCGCCACAAGCGGCTGATGTCTGGGTCATAGGATTCCATTTGTTGTCTAACAGTAAGGCCTTTCTTCAGTCAAAATACAAACTGATGAAAGCATAGTAGTTTCTTTTAAGCTCAGATGGAGAACTGTATAAATACCATGCTCACTGCCCTGGGTTTCCACTTCATGCCCCCTATCTTTTCAGATCAACTCAGGGATCTGTGGAACTCAGCAGGGAAACTCAATATCTGTTTATTGTGGGGAGACTTCAGGGGACCTGGGAACCAGCAGGGAGACAGGCAAAACAGGTTTCTGTTGTAACTCCATCTTTGAGTAGTACTTCATTCTCTAATTAGAAAAAGGGGTTAAACAGAAGATAAGACAGAGATTTCATTTCCAACTTATAAAGGATAATTTCCCTGCTTGTAGTTTAAAAAATAAAATATAATTTATATATATATATATATATATATATATATATATTTTTTTTTTTTTTTTTTTTTTTTTTTTTTTGCGGAACCGGGGATTGAACTCAGGGCCTTGCACTTGCCAGGGAAGTGCTTATTCCACTGAGCCATCTCTCCAGTCCCTTGATATACATATATTTTAAGTGTTCACATAGATGAGTTTTGACAATTTTATACACTCATGTAGTCATCATCAAAAATAAATATAGGCCTTTCCACTGTTCCCCTTAAGTCACTCCCTGCCCTGCCAATACCAGGTACCACATCCTGACTTCTATCACCACAGGTATACTTTTGCCCACTCTTAAACTTCCTATGACTGAGGCCGTACAGTGTGTAGTTCTGTGCATCACTCTTCATCCCTTGCTACAGCTGGGTGCTCTCCAGTCCTGATGCACCACAGTCTATTCATCTGCTCTCCTGCCGATAAGTTTCTGGTTACTTCTGGTGTGTGGGTGGCCATTATGAGTAAGGTTGATGTGACGGTTCTAATGCAAACAAGTCTTTGTGTGGGCTTCGGATTTCCTTGGGACTAGAACTGGAAGGTCCTGGAGGAGGTGTGTAGGTAATTATCAGAGAATTCATCAAAGTGATTGTAACTCTGTATATCCTGTTTTATGTTTACAGGAGGATTGTATGAAGGTTCCAGTTGCTGTACATCCTGTCATCTGCATTATCATCTATGTAATTTTAGACATGTTATGAGTGTGAAGGGATATCTGATTATAGCTTTAAGTCGTGTTTCCCTGCTAATTAGTGATGCTTATGACAGTGAGCACATTATTGGACATTTTATACCAGCTTTTGTAAAGTAGTTCAAGTCTTCTGTCCACTGTTAGAAAACTGGGTTATTATTTTAATTGTAGAGTTGTAACAGTCCTTAATATTTCTGGGTATAAATCTTTTATCAGATAAATATATTAATAATAGCCCAGATCCCTGAGCCTGCCGTGCTGGTCCTGTCCCAGGGGCGTGCTGAGACTGCAGTTGAGACTGGGTGTGTGGTGCGCACCTGTAATCCCAGCTCTTCAAAGGCTATAAACAGGTGGCTCACTACGAGTCTGATCTAGCAGTGAGACCCTAAACACCCTCTAGACCCTTCCCTAAAATACAAAAACAAACAAAAAACCCCAAAAACCAAAAAAACAAAAAAGCCCAAATCACAATTTGTTGCCCATTCCTCATCTATCAATTATGTGAAATTCAAATAAAATTACTAAGACAACAAACATGAAAGAAAGAACCTGCTTCTTCTCAATTTTTTTTTTTTCTGTATTTCAGGGAAGGGTCTACAGGGTGTTCAGGGTTTCACAACTAGATCGGATTCGTAGTGATCGCCTGTTTACAGCCTCCCAAGAGCTGGGATTACAGGCATGTGCCACCACCCAAGCCCAGTCTCAATCGCTGTGTCAGCGTGCCCTGGGGGCGAGGTCTTCACGGGAGGCCTGGGGATCGAACCCCCAGCCCCTGCACCTCCTTACAGGCACTTTAATTCACTGAGCCCTTCCTTTGTAATTTGTTGTTGTTGTTTTTTTTTGTTTCTATGAAACTGACTCTACGAAGGGTTATTTTTTAAAGGAAGATCCCAGAAAGTCTGAAGGCCAGGATCCATGATGCAGCATGTGCTAAGAATCCCAGTGAGAGGAAGCAGAGAAAAGTGTTCTCTAAAGTGTTTCAGTTGGGAGAGCGAACCCCAGAAGTCTGGTATCACGGTTATAACACAAACAGAATGTGAAATCTGTTCAGTAGTCTGTATCTAGTGTTTTTTTATTCTTTCCTTTCTTTCCTTATCCCTACCACCCTCATCAAGTCTGTTACCCAGCCTGGGAATGAGAATTTCAAGGAGCTACTCAACACATGACACACAACAAGGCTCTTTTTTGCACATATATATGATTTGTTTTTAAAAGAAAATCCTTTTTTTTCAAACCTGCAGCTAACCTTACTGCTCATGTGTAAATCTAGCTTTCCAACCACAACTTAGGGTTTATATTGCCAGAAGAACTAGTCAACTTTTCTAAGTTTTATATCCTATAAAGGCCTACAAAATAATGTATAAAATGAAATATAGCCAAACCATGCAAAATTCCTTTTTACTTTTATTACATAAAAGTAGCTGGAATGTTTACCTAATAATATTGAGTGGTTATTTAATAAATCAGTAGGTGGTATGTTGCAACAAAAACTATACATGTAAATTTTTTGTGGGTTTTTTTTGGTATATTTTAGATACATTAATGAACTTGTACCTGTACGTGATGTATCTTGCTTTATTCCCCATTCCCCTCCCTCCCTCCTTCAGTCCTCTTCCCCTTCTGAGTCATAAGAGCTAACAAATATTCTGTCTGAAGAAATAAAGATTTGCAGTCATTAAAACCAAAAAAAAAAAAAAAAAAAAAGAACTAGTCAACTGACTTAAGTCCCAGCCCCATCTGCCTCTTCTGTGGCGCAATAGCTCTGAAATCTCTTCAAACTCTCTGAGCCAGGTATGATGGTGTAAGCCTATAATCTCAGTAGTTAGAAGGCTGAGGCAGGATGTTCACACTAAGTTTAAGACTAGCTTAATGCTACATAGTGAATTCAAGGTCAGACTGGGCTATCTGATGGGTTCAAGGTTAGTCCAGAATATAGTGAGACCCTTATCTCAAAAACAACAACCACAAAAAACCCAAAATTAAACAAACTGAAAATGTCTAAACAAACCCTCTGGCATGATGAACTTCATCACATCCCCAGACTGAGAGGCTTTTTTCTGTTTTCTCTCGTGCTATGGGAACTTGTTCAATCAGAGATGAGACCCTGAAAAGCAAAACCTTTATTGGGGAATGAATCTGGTGATTTAACTCCATTTGGGGAGAATCTGAACTAGGAATGAATGAAAGATGGAATCCCAGGGGTGCTCAGATTTTAGTCTACATGTTTTGCTTTCTCCTTCAACTTAGCCTATCTTGTTCCTGGCCTGCTCTGTTCTCCTCTTGGCTATGTGGGGGGGGGGGTGGAGGTGGGGAGGCAGTGGCACACGCTCAGTCTTGCTTACTATCCTGAATTTACTGGAGTGTTAGAATATGGTGGCCTCCTGAGAGATAATTGACAGTATTTTGATTCTAACAATGGTTTACTCTAGAGGCAAAGAAATCAGACAAAGAGCTAAAAAATGTAGAGAGGAAGCAGCAGTAGGAAATAGGAAGGCTTACTTCAAAAAGAAGTTCAAGGCTTTCCTACCACATGAGAGCAC